AAGTAATCTTTCCAGTCAAGGGGGCTGATTTAATGGCAAGAACAATTTATTTCCCTCTGGGTAGGCAGAAACAGTTGGACTCTAATTCTTAAGAGCCTTTGTTCAGGAACATCTGGGTTGAAACTACTGTAGTTAACAGATGATGTTGGCAGTAAAAAAAAAAAAAAAAAAAAAAAGGCTTTGTATAATGTCGTTGTCAAATTTGGTAGACCTCTACTTAATAATTATCAAGAAAGCAATCTAACTTGTTATTACAACAGTTTTATTGCCGATTGCGGGCTTAAGACCTTTTTGTGACAAGTGGCATTTTTTCTTGAAAAAAGAAGTCATTTCTATTCCCCTGTAATTATTTTTGCAACCAGCAACAGCTTCCTGCGTTGGACATATTGGGGCATTTTATTTTAGAAACCAAGAATTAAGTTATTGCTAGCTTATGGCTGATTTTATCCCATTTATCACATAGTGAAGGCTTTCTTGCTTCCTTTTTTCCCCTTACCTCACCTCACCCTGCTTCCTGATTTCACACCAGTCCTGTAAATGTTGAAACACTGTAAGTTGAGTAAAGGCAGAATTAGAGTAAGGATTAGATGGCTAATGCCCATTCTTCTTTACCAAAAAATGGTGCTGAGTGATGCGAGTAAATGTTTAACCAGAGAACATCAGTTCTGGGTAGACTGAAAGTATATATATTCTTGAAAATGTAAGGGGTACATAAGGGCATAAGAGGGTCTCTAGAAGGTCCCAAGGACAAATTGTTGTATTTTAGAATTGGACTTGCATCTTGGCATTGTGGACTGAAGGCAAAAATTAGATTCCCAGAGCATATCACTACTTTTATTTCCTTCTGTATCCTTCCTTTCCCATCTGTCCACTTCTAACAAATAAGACAAGCTAAGAAGCAGCTTGTTTCATGATTCTGTACTGACTTCCAAGCTTTCTCTGCATAGACTTTCCTAGTTTGCCACTTTATCTTTTCTCCATCACTCCAGCCACTCATGAGGTTTACTCCCCATTCATACATGCATTTATTTATCCAGCCTTTACTGAAGGCTTACACTTTGAACTTTGCAAAATGCCAGTGAGGGAAAGCATGCATTCTGTACAGGAAAAACTCAGTCTAGAGGGAAGAGATAAGTAAACAAGTCATTACCACACCAGCTCCCCTGTTCACTCAGCTTCCTCTGCTCTTCCCCACTGGACACCTCCAACAGAGGCTACATCTCTACAACAGGATGCAGTCCTTAAGCCCAGGATTGTGACATTGGCCAACTGTCTGTGGCAGGATCTAACAAAAAAGTGTGATTTGGACACTCACAGAGGGAGCCATAGCTCTGCTTCCAGTGTAAATCATGGTTTATTATACTTGATTTGTATTCTGCAATATCCAGAGGATACATATTATAGTAGGGATTAAAAACTTAGCTACCTGTAAGGTTCAGGCAGTTAGCAACAAAGAATGAAGAGTGAGGCCATCTGAGACAATAGAGAGTGGTGGGGACTGTGGCACATTGGAGAACAAACATCCCATCCAGAGGGATAAGTGCTTCACACCCTTTTCACCATGTGGAATGTGGTGCCAATGTAGCCATATCTGATTTTTCAAGGAAAGCTGAAAAGCCAGTTTTTATGTGAATTCACTTGTTGGCATCTATTTACAGTTTTTTAAAAAACACTGTACTTACCAAACAGAATGTGTCTGCCTGTTGGGCTTGTGACTGCCACTACATTTCCTCTCTTCTGATGAGAAGCATCTGTGCAGCACATTGCATCAAAGACTTGATTTCTACTTTTGGCGTTTTACATAAAAGTCAATTGACCTTGACCTAGTTGCTCTCCTCTGTTTGGACCTCAGTTTGTCATCTGCCTAGGAAGGGCAGGATCGGCCAATCTTGAAGGGCTTGAATCTGAAAATCTGTGTTGTGGCACAGCTTGCCTATGTTCCCTCTGTTCAAATCATTCTCTCCCTCTCCTTTCCTTTGGCCAGTGGGCAACAGCTTGTTTTGGGTCAAAGGACTTCTTAAAAAGGGACTTCTATAAGGCATTATAGAATCATCTTAGGTATGGATTTGAATGTTTTGACATTATGGATTTAAAACTGGAAGAGGACTCAGATCTGCAGGACCATCCTGTATAAGGTTAAGGAATGAATACAAGGCCACATAGATTTTAGGACTTTCTTGTAGTAGGAAATTCTTTTCTTTTTATATCCAGTTGGTAAATGGTACTGTAGTAACTAGGAAGACATAATTCACCATTACTATGAACTGTTACCTCCCTTCTTTCCAGTGGGATTAGGTTTACAAAAGCAATGAAGATATTTGATCCCATGAACTACCAGAGTCCCAAATTGGACTGGTCATTGCTCATAGGATATTAGCAAATTAACCTTTGCACGATCCATACTAAGTTTAAGATCAGCCTTCTCCCTGATGTTTTGGTATTTGACTACTATTTACATTAGAAAGTGGTCACTTAATTTGGTAATTTGGTTCAATGAACATTGCATAAGCTATATATATATTTTAAAAAACAATTTAAGTTCTAGAAGTAACAGTCCCATAAAGGGTGCATGTTAGCAGTGCTCTTTGGGACATAAATTAAGGAAGGCATTTTCCAGCTGTAGTTGGATATGTGTGTTGGTGTTTCAGCAAGCTGCCCAATCAGCACAAAGCCCAGGTCATTGGAATCTTCTGGCAGGAATCAGAAAACCTGCAAATCACAGAAGATCCCAGATATGCCTGTATAGAAGTGGTCCTTTGACATCTGACTGTCTGCTGAAGGCAGTGCTGGGGACCACAACCTCACATGTAGGAATGAGCAATTGATCTCACTCCCTGGAGAGCATGAAGCCATCAGCAGTACTTTCTTTGAAAGCAACACATCCCCATATCCAGCACATCTGATTATGTCACTTTTCTATTTTAAACCAACTAAAATCCCCCAATTCCACTTAAAATAAGCTGCAGACTCCTTGCTCTGGAAAGCAAAGACCTCATGATCTTGTTCCCACCTCATTTCCTGACCTAATCACTGTCACACTTGACTTTGCTCACTCAGCTGCAGTCTTACTGGATTTATTGCTGATCCTCAAACACCCAGAGCTCTTCGCTGCCTCAGGGCCTTTATGCTTGCTGTTTCTGCTTCCTAGAAAGCTCTTTCCCCATATCTTCTCATCATGCTGTTGTGCTCCCTGCATCCTCAGAATGGTCCTCCTGAACCATCACAGATGATATACTTCTTGTGAGTTACTCTTTATATTCTTAGGTTATTTTATTTTCAACTTAGAACTTGTCATCATCTAGGAATTTATTATTTATTCACTTGTATATTTGCTTATTGTCTGTCTCTCTCAATACAAAATAGGCTTCACTGGAGATCGAGATGTAGTGTATCCTGCCAGGTATCAACTAGACACCTTAGGCAAGTTACATGGACTTTCTGATCCTTGGTTTCATCACGTGTAAAATGGAGCTATCAATAGAAGTCTGAATAATTGGGGTAATAGTTTTCTCTTAGGGATATTGAGGGGATTAAATTGAACCACCAGGAAGCCCTCCCCACATTGTGACCCAGTACCTTATCCCCCTTACAATGCTGGAGCTGAATAAATAAGCATCAACTCATTGTTCAATCTATCAGTTAATCAATGTTCTGTTATTCAAAATGGTAATGCTCATTGTAGAAACTTGTCATACATCATGTATAATTATTTTGTTTATGTGAGCTTTTATTCTATAAGTATGTAAGTGTATAGTGTCATCTAATTGTATTGTGTCATTTACATGTTCATGTCTTTTTATATATTTGTTCTATTTACATGTTCATGTCTTTTTGTATAATATTATTTGTTGATCTTATATCTTGCAATATTCTGTGAAAAGCCATTTAGAATGCTAATACCATATTGCATTGTACTTTATTGCCTTATTATTGGACATTTAGGTTGTTTTCTATTTTTCTACTCTGTATAAATAATACTTACTCTGAACATCTTTAAGCATAAACATTTTACTGCACCTTTTGTTATTTTCTTAGATTTGAAACCCAGTAAATGGAAACCATTTGTTTGTTTAGCTTCTCTGTATCGGTATGTCTATTCACTATGCACTGTGGAGAATTCCAAACAAGTTCAGGACTCTTAAGGAAGTTGCTCTGGTTAAGGAGACAAAGTTCAGACATGTGAAACAATAGGGAGCGACCATAGCCAGTATAAAATTAACTAAAGGCTCAGTGATTTGGTTACAGACAAGGTGCTGGGAGAGTTTTGAGAATAGAAAATCACAGGGTAGCAGAAACTGGAGAAGACCTACTGCTTGGAAGATTAGAGTTGATGTAGCCTGGGAGGATGGGTTGGGAAGAGAGAAGAAGGGATGGGGAGTGGGGGATGCACAAGCGAAGGAATGGAAACAGGAACAAGCCAGCCTTAAAGCAGTCTGCTCTGCAGTCAAGAGCAGCAGGCAGATGAGGTGAGACAGCTAGGATGGAGCCAGGAGTGACGATGCCATCGTCATGTGCTGGGCACCTACACAGAGGCCAAGTATTATTACCATCATTCCAAGCACACAGGGGTCTGTTCAGAACAACAATATGAGCCATTTTTACAAAAGACTGAAATGGAATCCAAATAACAGGTCCAGCTGGTCCAAATCTTTCCCTCCCCCTGTAGTTAACATTTTACTACCCGACGGAGTAACTAATGAATCTGGCCCAGTGTAAATCCCCAGGCACAAATCCCTGCTTGGGCTCTGTGTCTAGACAGCCAGACCTGAGTGCAATTTGCACTTTGAGCATCCAGCACCTTATCACTTGCAAGAAATCAGGTTTAACAGGGAAGATGGGGAGGTGTTGCTTCCACCCCTCCCTTTGGCACAGTGCCGGTGGAATGAGGATCCCCCTCTGATAATGACTGCATTAGGAGACTGAAAGATCGTAATAGTGTTTGTTATGTGACTCTGGTCATTCAGAAGCACTGATTGGGAGGCTTCTCCATCTCATTGCAGGCTGTGTTTTGTGAAGCTCAAGCTCCTAATGATAGCCATTGAGTACAAGTCTGCCAACCGAGAGAGCCGGTAAGTTTGCGGTGACCCAGCGGCCGGCTGACACTTTTGGTGGTGAGAGTGCATTCTGAGAACGGTCGGTTCACTTCTGCTTTCTTGTGAATTATTTATCTGCATGGAACCAGATGTAACACCTCTCTGACCCTAGAGCACATTTTGAGGGTCCCCCGGACACTGCAGCTTCTATGCCAGACCAGCCTGGCATCCAAAACCCTGCTGGGCATTCAGAGAGTGTTTCTCCAGGGAAGAGGGATGAGTCCTACAAAATATCTCCATCTGATCATGCCGACCTGGACTTTTCACCTTCTAAGTGTTAAACCAGACCTTAAAACCCTTTTTTACTGCTGTGAGCAAAAAAGCAGGTGGACTCTGGCCTCCTTTACAGCAGCCTTGGGGTAGAGCTGTGAGGGGAGACACCAGCTCTCTTGATAGCCAAATTACAAGCAGCCTATTGTGTACCATATGTGCTTCTCCCGGTGCAACCAAAATCCAGGTGGCAGAATATCAGCTTCATGTAAATGAGCCAGGAGAGTGGGGCTCAGAGGCAGGAGCTCTCTTTATTTATGTATTTTACACTTAATTGTGTGCAAATCAGACTGATGAGGGACTGTGTCTGGTTGAAATAGATAACATCCCAGTCAATATATGAGTTCACGCTGGAGGTGGGAAGCATCATGCTAACAAGAAATTTTGCTGATGGAGTACTGTACGCCTTACAGATAAAATAGAGATGATTTTTTTGCTCCCCAATTCTTGTCAATAGTTTTGGAAGAGAGCTCACTGATAAATGCTCAAGCTTTTGTTCTGTGAAATGACACCCATAGTCTATTCCTTATAGTTTATTTTTTTGATCCTGCAGATGCCCAAATGTAGAGTGCAGATCCCTCCAACAAATACCTTAATACCTGAGCAGAGTACAGGGGAAGACTGATCTCTCCAACAAATACCTTAATACCTGAGCAGAGTACAGGGGAAGACTGATCTCTCCAACAAATACCTTAATACCTGAGCAGAGTACAGGGGAAGACTAGAAGTTTCCTTTTATCATCATTTAAGGAGTTTTCCTTATCTGGGTGAATAACCCAATATAGCCAGACTTTCAAATGTACAGTCTGTGTCTATGACAAGGCAAAACAGAAGAAAAGAAAACACTGGATTGTAAACAGATCAATCCAATGTTTTCTTTTACGTTAACTACCAGATCAGATTGCTCACAACGTCAATCTGGTTAAATGTTAAGCTATTTTGAAAACCCAAATCAACCAAAAGGAAGAAAAAATGGTAGATTTGGTGGCCATATGTAGAACATGGCTGTAGCAGTTAACAAGTATGTAGGTAGATAAATATTTTCTTTTCATGTTGGCAAAGTGAAGAATATTGTTTGCAAAAACTGAGAGTCCTGGTTATTTGTTGTTCAGCAGATGAGGTGGAATTTTCTGGGATTACTGTTTACCCATGTTTTTGCCAATACTCACTTGTACCTGTGTAGGGGAACTGTGTGTATCCTGGATTTTTGCAAATGATATTCTCCGTGTTGCCAAGTCAGCAAATCTTGGTGTAACTCAATGTTCTCTATTTACTTTTGTGCATCTTTCAAAAAAAAAGGTCGTGATGTGGGTGACGTTGATGCTGAATAGTGTTTTTACCATTCTGGAATAATCTGACTGCAGAGATTGCACCCTGAACCTTGAGCAGTTGTCTCTCATTCATTGCCTTTTGGTCCCAAGGAGAGAAAAAGAGCGAAAGGCTGTTAATGGTTCATCGTGAACTCAATGTCACTCTTCTAAGAAAACTAACTCAGAGCACTCCCTGAAGACGAAACTTTTCTTGGATAGGCCCTTCAACTGAGTCACAATTCTGAGATGTTTTCAACAAAGCCATATTTATAGATATAATTTTTAGTGTATATATATATTTTTTTTTAATTTTTTTTTCAGAAAAGGGCAAAAAGGACTTGTTTGGCTTTGTTTGGGCTTTCTTTGTGCAGTTGCCAGCTTTAATTCTCAAATGTGGCTTGGTCTCAGTGTGGAAGCACATTGGTTGTTGTGGAAAAAGGTGTGTTTGAGGGAATGTGGATCATGCCTCTGAGAAAACACAGGACTTATCAAACACAATATCCATGTTAAAGATAAACATTTTTATTTGATCTTCCCTGAGATAATAATTTTAATGTTCTTCTTTATTTAAAATGTCCCACTTCTTTTCCTCTCACATTTTCTAACTGACTGGGTGTGAAAATTCAAAGGACCTGCTTCTCCTTCCCACCTTCTTTAACCTGTGTTTAACTACCTTCTTTGTTGTTGGTTTCACCCCATGATACTGTTTTCATGCTTTGCTGAAAAACCTTGTTTTCACATGCATCCTTCAAGTGATTTGAAACAAAGGTTTTATTCCTTCTTTCCTTTTGGTGTCAGTCAATTTATTATCAAATTGTTTGATTTTAAATTCTTTTCTTGTCGTTTTGCAGAAGCCGAAAGCGGTATGCACTCTTCGTTAACTTTTCTTCCAACCTCCACCCTCTATCTTCACTCCTAACCACAGGACTAACCATTTGCCAAGAATTCAAGAAGAGAGAGATTATATATATGTATATATAATCTCATTCCCTTGTCTAGTGTATATATATTATATATATGTGTGTGTGTATATATATACATATATATACACCCCTCTCCAACTAGAGTACATACATTGGAAGTAGCCTATTTCTGTTCCTGTTTGATTTGTTGGTTCTTTTGGATGACGCACTAACTTCTTTGCAGGAAACCTAAAAAAGGAAAGGCACACTCCTGTTTTCAGTCATGGCACCAATAATGGGAACAAATACTATGAAAGTTGAACAGGAGGATGCTTCTCTCCAGCCCTTTGTGTCTGTTTCTGTATTGTCCTGATGTGTCTTGGTGTCCGCTGGACTCTGGCGCCATTTTGTCTACATACCACATCCACATTCCCAGTGACCTCCTCCTCCCTGTGTTGAGTTTCTTGTCTGTAGAGCAGAGTTCATGTCCTTTTATCCACAAAGCAGAGACCAAGCCCTTACACTTTGATTTTTCCTTACATTTATTTTGGTGATAACATTTTGAATATTTTATTTCTCAGGCAGTGCTCAGTATAGACTTAGAACACTGCTATTAAATTGCCAGATTATCACACTTGATTTACAGAGTTAGTACTGTTTATTAAGACAAACTCGTGGCTCTTTTTTTCCTAGTGTGTTTGGGCATATTTCTTAATACGAAGCTTCTCAATTTCACCATGTGATTTCACCCTGTTTTGCTGCTGTTTTACATTGCATGAAGCATGACTAAATCATCATCAAGGGCATTTTAAAAAAAACTTTTGGGTTAATAGTTCCAGGACAGCTTTTCAATAATGTGTTCTCTAAGACAATATTGTTGAAAACATACTATTGAGATGCCTACTTGTTCATCTTTTCAAGTTACTTTTGTCCGTGATTGTAATCACTATCATGTGTTTGTGTTTGTAATTGTGTGTGTGTGTGTGTGTATTTGTCTGTATCTCTTTCCAAAGTCTGATTCTTCTGTGATTTTTGGAGTACATGTGTATAGAGGTGGCTTCCTGTCAGTTTGGCATTATTGATATGATCCAACTGCGAGAAGTTACTGCAACACTTTGCATCTTAAAGGTCCACAGTGGTTGCACCTCTGCTGTTGGCTTTTGGCCTTTGAGTCCTTTTATCTTGTGGTGAAGGCATGTTGTGATGTAGGCATGACTTGTCCTAAGTATACCAGAAAATGATTTGGCTTGCTCCCAGAACCAAATATCCAGCATTATCCTTTCTAGATCACCTCTTTCTTCCCCATCCCATATGGCTAATATTTTTTGTATATGCAAAATATATTTGAAAATGCCATTTCTAAAGTTATCGAGATGGATGCAGGCTGAGTAAGTCCTCACCAGTATCTCTGGTGGACCATAGTGGCAGTCATTTGAGTCTGACCAACTGGGAGCAATCTTTGTCATGCTGTCTGTGTGTGAGTGAACTGGGCTTAAGTATATTGACACATGAAATACACAACTGTGTCTCCAATGGTATCTGAAAGTAAAAGTGTGTGTGTCTAGTTGTGTGGGACTCCAGCAGCACATATTTTAAAGCCCAGAAAAAATGAAAAGTTCCAGAAAGGTGATAAGATTTGAGATGTGGGGTTTCTCCAAAATGTGCCTGCACATGGCCTATAAACTACAAATGCAGTTATACTCCCTGAGAGGGGACACAATTGGTTCAAACAAAGTTCCAACTGAGAGTCATTGTATATGAACTTGTGTGATCAAAGAAGCCTCTTCTCAATGGCATGATTCATCTGGGCATAGCATGAACGGAAACCGTAGATGGTTCTTATTTGCTTGCTTTAGTTAATGAAGTCCCATTAGCTTGCTAGACACAAATATAATTACTACGTTATCAAGTACAAACTATGTTCTCATATGAGTCATGCTATTTTTTTTTAAATTGCCTGAGGAATGGTACATTACACCTACCAAAAATGAAAGGGAGAGGAGAGAAATATATATCTATCATATTTACCTGTAATGGATAGACGTTTCCTTAAACAGTATCTGTTTCAGTTGAATTACCAATCATTGGCTGTCTCCAGAAACAGGAAACAAGTAAAGTTTACAATGATTGAAGACAAAACTAGATGTCTCCCGGTTATGCACAAGTGGTGGAGAAAGGAATACGTTTCTTTCCTCCATCAAGCTGCAGTCTTCCAACCTGACCCAGTGTTTAGCAAGAAATACTCGACGAAGTGTGATACAACTTGAGACATGGTGTTGCTCTCATGGAGGGACCTGATAGAGACATTTCCCCATGGGACTGAGCCCCGTTAGCCAATTCCATGTGGATGTGTTTTATGTGTAGGAACCCATATTTCTCTTTGAAGGTTTGCTTTCAATGTTGAAATCAATTGCTCCAACTTCACAAGTGGCATGCTGTTTACATATTGGGATATTTACATATTCATACTTAATGCCTCTGAGAGATTGCTAGTTCATTGGCCAATCCCCTAGCCCTAGCAGAGGTGTAGTCACTCCTTTAATCAGCCTGACTGATGAGAATTGTAGCTTGTTCTTTGAAAGAAAACTGTGACCTCCTTTCCACTTATTTGTGAAGAAGGAAAACTTCTGGGACTGAGGTTTTAAAAACTAATTTTTTAAATTCATTCAACAAATAGTTGAAATGTGCCTGTTGCATGCAATGCTCTAAGCCTGCTACTCCAAAAAACTCAAAGGTAAACAGAATGTGATCATGTTTTGTACCCTTCTACTCAACTGTGGGTTCCTTACAGAAAATACGTATTTGCTGCATGTAGGAGGTGAGTAAACACACAATAAGTCGAGACTGAAAACTAGTCTGAGAGCAAAAGAAACAGAGACAGCAAGTATCCTTGAAGAAAGGACCACACTAGCCCTGTGCTTCCAGCTGTCACTGGATGTTTTCTGTTGAAACCAGTAAGGTCAAAGAAGAAAGGATAATTTATATATTCCTTGAAATGAGGGAAAGTCCACCTCTGCCAAGATGTCCTTGTTGGAATTCTGTTAATGGATATATGGGCTTTTTCTCTTAGAGATTTTCATGATTCTTCACATGACACATGTTGAAGTTTATCTCTGATAAACTAGTGAATTACATAAAGTTGGAGCCAGAGAACTGATTTAGAGTGGTGCACAGGGAGAGAGACTGCTGGCAGTCATTAGAACAAAACAAACTTAACATTGGATACTCTCCTAAAGAGATCAGAGATCCTCGGAAAAATTTATGTATTCCTATTAGAAGGTCAGTAACAAATTCTAAAGATAGTAGGCAAAAGGGGGAGAAAGTCACTACTATCCAAAATCCTTGTCTTTTTATATTTTGAAGAAGAGGGGGATTAGCATTTTATTTAAACTTTCTAGATTTGGAATGTGTATAGAAGACTTAATGTCTAAAATAAGTATAGATAGATAGATAGATAGATAGATAGATAGATAGATAGATAGATAGATATAAAACCAGTAATGTAGTTCCTGGTGCTTCAGCACCAAGAGCATCTTTATGTATCTAGATTTCTTTCTTTCATTGTTTCAAGGGCTGGGTCCATTCTTTAGATTCCCACCCAGAAGGCTGCCTTAGCCTTAGCTGAGTACCTGCAAACGGTTCTGCCTCACATCTCACATGGGGATGGTTTAACCCCCCTCACCTCTGTTCACAGGGAATAAGAGGGCATCCTGGAATCCACATGACCTGTGGGGCAATTAGAGATGCTTTTGGTTCCTTACACAATCAGCCATAGATTTAAGGAACAGAGGATACTTCACTATGCAGACAAAAGTCAGTCTAAATTAGCTGACCACCAGATATTGTGCAGGGATAAAATGTTTTGGATTTCCTTGCAGTCAGTGGAAAAGTCTTCCAATGACAGTAGGGTACCTCCTGGGTCATTTATTAGCAGCAAGGACAAAGTGGAGAGTAATGGTGCTGTGAGCATTTATTTACCTCTCAGTTTTATAATCACCTAACTCACTGAGAGTAGCAACTATGAATTTAAGACCTTCTATGTGTCAGTCATGTTGCACATAGTACATTCTTTAACTCTCTTAGAGACATTGTAAGCTAGCGATTATTCACCCATTTTATAGATGAGAAGTGTGAGGATTACCTGCGTTTATAAAGCCAGGACCCAAAGAGGTGAGACCTGATTCATGTGCCTGAACCCTTAACCAACATCAGCAGCAAACCTGAAACACAAATGTTCTTTACATCAGAGCCCCAAATCTTTCTTCTCCACTGCACTAACTGGACTAAAGCAAGCTCAAAGGCTATAATAAATTATCTCAACCTGCACTCTCTACAATGCCAATTCTAAATGTTCACTGTAGGCTAATTCTTGTTCATTGTTGATAAAGAATAATGAAACACAAAATGTGAAAAAAGGAAACAGCATTCTATGTGATGCTTATTTGGTTCATATATGTCACCAAGACTTTGATGTGGGTCAGATTTTTCCTTTTGAATTCTGTTGTTCAAATCATGATAGGATTTTTTTTCCATTCAGAATTTTTTTTCTTGCATTTTTTATATGAATAATGTCGAAATGTAGGCTTTTATAACTTTGAGGAACTAGCTCCTTTAGGCTCCAGAAGTGCATGGAATATTTTGTGTAAGTCCTTATACATTATTCTGTAGTGTACAGTTCTTTACCCTATAATTTAATCTCATTAATGGGCAAGGTATTTTGATAAGAAGCCTGTATTATATTCCATGGGGTCAGCTAGAGAAAATCTCTGATAACTTTGTTGAAAATGAAATGCACTTTGGCTTTTCTTTACAAGAATTAAGAAAAGGAACAGTAACTCACATGCATTGAGCCTTGTATACATCATCTCACTTGATTCTCTAAAGACTATTATTACCATTATCCACCTCTTGTAGGTAAAAAAGTTGAGTTCTAGGGAGACTTAGTAACTGGCCCAAAGTCAAACAGCTATTGAGGGGTAGTGTTGGAATTTGGACCCAAATTCTGATTGCAGAGCCAGGGCATGTAAAAACTGCCTTGCAGGAAAGGAGGTAAAAAAAAAAAATGTGCGAAATTTAGAATCCTGCCCTTCTAAAACATCATACTGAATTGGCTTTGAAAGATAAATTCATCTAAACTGTATGAGCTCTGACACTTCGCCCTCGTGATTGCATGAAGTCAGAGGGCTCATTATACCCATGTGAAGAGTTGGCGGAGGGGTCATTAGAAGGTGCTTATGGAGAGCCGCTGCTCAGTGCAGGCCGTGCTATTAGTGTGGACTGCTGCTCTCTGATTTGGGAGGAATCTCATTGCTGCCTGTGGTTGTAGGGCTGAACAGTTAAATCTTCATAGCCTTTTGATATTATTGAGTGTTAATAATAGCCATGACACAAGTACAGTTTCCTCCTGTCAGGTCTTGTTATAAGTAATGGTAGATGTTCTTCTGACCACAGACAATTATTTTGCAATAATGGTCTGCTCAGAGGTCTCCCAACCAGGTGAACAAAGGTTCACCTGTGTCCTTCCTGTATGACTACAGACATATCACTTCACTGACCACAACACTTTTCTGAAATGGTTTACCAGTAGAAAAAAAGATTATGTGTTAATTACCATCCTCTATATTTTGATTGTTTGGGGCACCTGAGAACTTCCTGTAGACTGATTCCAAATATCTATTACCTTATTAAGCAACATCTTTTCAGAACAAGGAGTACCTCTGCTGTTTCTGTTGCTTCATTCAGAGTCCCTAAATTCAGTATCCATTAAGCCTGAAGTCTCTTCTCAGTCTGTGCATCAGACAATCTTGTATTCTGCTTTTGATCTGCAGAAAATTAAACTTGTTTGTTTCATCCATTTATTAGATTAGGATACATTTATCTCTTCTGTCAGTCCAAACACATCTTGGCCAGCTAATCTATTTACGCCACTTTGAAATAGGACAATGTATATTTAGGTTCCCACTTCTCTGCAGGGCAAGTTTTTTTAAGGGGTGGTTTGCATTTGTTTTCTCAATTTGCCTCAATTAGGACATGCTAGACACACATCTTATTCAAACACCCTGTAAGTTTTTATAAACAGCAGACTGGAATCGTTAAGTATATCCAACTGCTAACTTAAAACAAAAAAAAACTGTTTGGGTAAATCCAATTCTTCCTATAAAGGCTGTACATGGAATCAATTTCCATGTCCTTATCAATGTCATGAAGACGTTCAGTTTCCTTCTGCATTGGTTACAGGTGTCTTGTACCATTCCCCGTGGTAATATGTGGTGTGTGTACATGTATGTTTATGTATACATATAGGGGTCCCATTAATGCTCTGTCATTTAATGGAAAATTGTTGTAGCAATAGTTTCATCAGGCCAATAGTGCTTCTGTGTTGACCACCAATAGCGGTTTCAAAAGGAATGTATTCTGATGGACTTTGCTTCAAATCATATGCCCATGATGGCAGCTAGACTGCCCCATTATATAAACCCAGGCCCTAAAACTTTGATTTGCTTTGATTTCCTCAACTGGGAGCATGCCAACCTGGGAAGTAAGCAGTAGTGCTTAATGATGGCATTATCCAACTAAATGTATGGGGCAGTGGGCATTGGGCTCTGGACAAAATCTTTGGGGAAAGCTCTAGACTAGTGGGCCCCCTATAAACACAACAGTATGGTGTAGCCTTTGAGGTTTTATTCAGAACATGACCTCACAAATGTATCTTCTCTGTTTGTTTTTGTTCACTGAGCAGTATATTAATTAATCCTGGAAACCATCTTAAGATCCAAGAAGGTACTTTAGGATTTTTCATCGCAAGTGATGCCAAAGAAGTTAAAAGGTAAGAGTTTGTTTTCAACTGGCTTTCTTTCTGGCCCAGCCATAGATACCTTGACCCACGGAAGTAGGCAGGCTTCCATAACCCCAAAACTCCTTAACATGTCTATGGCCATCAATTGGTGTAAGAAAAACTTCCACGGACTCCTGTTCATGTAGTCAATTCCACATCTCTAAATGAGAATAATAAAATTTTAGAACTAAGAAGCCTAGTTACCTGCTCATTCATTTTATGAGGGAGAAAATGGGGGCTCAGAGAGCTGAATGACTGCTCAAGGTCATCCTGATTCCTCATGACCCAGAACAACATAACAAGACAACTGGCTCTTTGTCTAGTGCTCTTTACTTAATATTATCTGGGAAATTTACTTGAGAATTATCAGTTTTCTACTGTCCCTGCCAAATAGAATTTCAAAAGGTTGGGATTAATTTCAGATGGAATATGAAACTGGCTCTATTTCTGTTTGTGGCCTACTAGGTAAGTGGCTGAAGTTGTCAGCTTCAGTTGTTAAGCCACTCGAAGTACAGCACAGGATTTCATCGGCCTGCATGTTTCATGACATTTTTATTCGTACCCTTAAACCTGTTTAAGCAGCCTAGGAATTCACCAGGTCCTTTCCAGCACAACATGGAATATTGTTGTATTTGATTCTAGCCTATGAACTTGGATAAATTTACTAGCAGAAAATGCGATGCAAATGTTCAGACAGGTCATTCAGCTCAAGAGTAATATTCCATAAAATATTTTAAGTACATTATTAATTGTGAAGGTCTATCATTATTTATATAAGCCTATGGTCTTCATTGAATGAGTTCCTCGTCAAAGCCAGGCCTGTACTAGGTGTGCTACATTCTTTATTGCTGCTCTTCAAAATAACCCCGGAAGGTAAGTCTTCTTAAACACTCAGAGCTTTGGTTTCCTCATCTGTAAAACTGAGATAAGTGATTTGTCCCAGGCCATGAGGCACATAAGTAAGTGGCAGAGCCCAGAATGGAACTGGTCTTTCCTTTTCTAAAACCCACTCTCTTTCTACCAAATTTAATAATACTACCACATTCTTACAAAGGAGGGTTTATTACACCCCAGCACTATTTTAGGTACTAGGTTCTCTGTATCTAAAACTTGTTAAAATCTCACAGCAACCCCATGAGATAGGTAGCATTACTCTTTCCCACTTTACATATGAGGAAACTGAGGCACAACTTGGCTAACTAACTTGCCCAAAGTCATACTGCTAGTGAGGAATAAAGCCAGGAAGTTCGGTTCCAGAGCTTGCACTCTTAATTTTTTGCCTGGGTGGAGCCTGACACCCTGAGCACAGAACAATGACATGTGAGTGTGGATACTTAGGGTCCTCTTCCTCCCCACCCACTCTAGCAAACTAAGCCATACTGGCTACAGAAGCTTTCAGGAAAAAGAAAATATGGGCTGGTGGAAGAAAAAAGAATTCTTAAACTGAGCTCTCTAATAACTTAAATTTATTTCTGCAAATTTGGGAAAGATTGCCATGATTCAATTGTAGGGGAAAAATACCTCCCTACTCAATTCACGGAATCTCCCTGTTGTTCAAGAGTATCCTGAGAACTGGGTACACCTGAGAAGGGAAATTAGGATGAATGGGACTGAACCTTCCCTCTCCCCATGCTCCAATCAGGTCTCCTGGAGAAGAAGCTTGTGCCCTTGTCCAGACTGTGAGACACAAAAGCTTGAAACAGCATCTCAGCACCAAGTACAGGAGGCTGGGGAGCACAGGAGCACCATATATCACGTATACCTCCCAGATAGCAAATATAACATGAAACTCCCATTTGTGTAATTCTATTTCCTATTGCATCTCTCACTAATGAATGTCACAAATACCAGGCCGTCCAAAAAACAAATTACCTCCTATATTAGGGAGTGCAATATGTCTCATTTCAGTGCTTTATGGTATTCACAAATACATGCTGACACAATCAGCTACAACACCAGCCTGTAATTTTCCATGGTGTGTGATGTGTCAAAGCAAATGCTGTCAGTTAGGGGATTTCAAATAGATGAAGACTGCAGAAAACCACAGAAAGGACATTGGAGATTTGAATGAAACTAAACAAGTTTTGTAAAAATGGAAAAGTAGATTATGATGATCTAGTATCGAGTTTGCACCCTCCTCTGCAAAAAAGCAGCAAAAGAAGTTAATGAATTCTGGCTCATAGAAAGCTTCAGATGCAGTGTTTTAGAAAATGAGGAGTGAAACCATCCCACTGCAGTCTTAAGAAGGTCACTTGAGGATGGACATTTGGGTACTTGCTCTTTCCTCCTTGCCACCAAATATTTTCCTTTTAAAATAACATTGGAACATAGACGTTAATATAGGAGTCACAAAACGGTGGCTCAGTGACTCAATTTGGCTTGCACATATGATTCTTTTGAGTCACAATTTTTAAAAATAAATGAGTTGCCAAGGTGAAAAAAGTTACGAGCTTTTATAAAAAAATCCTTATTACTCGTTTCTCCTGAAAAATTGGCAGACCTAACAATACTGGGAAGCAGTCTCAAACTCACTCATTCATTCACCCTTCAAATATGGGTAAGTCATTTACATTTAGAAGGTTCTATACAAGGCACCAGGGAAACAGTGGTGAACAATGGGAGAAGTCCCAACTCTCACAGGGCTCATATTCTAGGCAGGAAAGAATGACAATTTTTTTTTTTTAAATTAATGGTAAAAGAATTAATGCAACTGAGTCACTGATTTGGGTTGGGTATAAGTGAAAGCTTCTCAGAGGGGATGGTATTTGAGCAGAGATTGAGATGAAGCTAAATAATCCATCAGGCAGGGATCAGATAGGAAGAGGAGATGGGCTGCGAAGAAGTTCATTGTGGGTAGGAACCCCAAGAAGGAAAGTGTGGCTAGGGAATAGATTTGGAGAGAGTGGTATGAGATGAGGTTAGAGAGAGGCAGAGGCTGGCTCCTAAAGCACTTTATAAAAAGGTTGGATCTGTTATAAAATGGAAATCACTGACAGCTTTAAGCTGATCTGATGTATATTTTGAAAAGGTCATTCTTCCTGCATTGTAGAGAATGAGAGGAATGGGGCAGGAGAAGAGGTGAGAGACTCAGCTCCTATTACACAGTTTAGGTGAGAGATGATGGCAGCTTGGACTGACCACTGAGTGGAGGTGGAGAGAAGTGGGTCCCATTCAGACTATATTTTGGAGAGTGTGCAGAACCCCCCAGTTAATTGGGTAGAAGTGAGGGAAAAAAGAGGAATGAAGGATGAAGGCTAGAGTCAGGGCTTAAATTGTGTTAATCTTAACCAAGATGAGGGATACTAGAGAATGAGCAAGTTTTGGGTAGTAGGAAGTTAAGCATTCTATCTGGGCTATGTTAGGTAGGAGATGTGTACTAAACATATACACAGTGATATCATAAAGGCAGTTGGATCTTAGAGTCTGGAGTTCTGGGGATAAGTGTGAATTGGAGATGAATATGTAAATGTGGGTGCTGTTTCTTGTCCTGGCAAGAAACAGATGACACACTTAAATGGGAAAAAGGAGGAGAGTTTTATGAAGAGAGTGTGTAAAGTTATGGGCAGATAGTTAAGGAAAACCAATAAGGGATGACCAAACACTCCAGAGCTAGCAAGAAAGGGGAGCCACCTTCACCCTAGATCTGTAGGGTCAAGGGGAAGGAGGGCTATCAGGAGCTGGGGAGAGAGGCTGTCATGTGCCATTTCATGGACCTGGCCAGGAGGGCACCCAGGGGGTCAAGGTGGTGACCTCATCCCCCCTCACCCTACACTCTCCTGTTGACTCCTCCCACTGGACATGCAGACCAGGAAACTGGAGGACAAGGCCACAGTGAGAAGAAAACCATCATTTAGTGCATGTTCTCAGGGCTGGATAGCATGGGAATTGGTCCAGTCAGCATTGGAGTAAAATAAGCTATGAAACTCCAGAGGGGGTTTGACAGAGGAACCCACTGACTCGTGGCTTTCGTTTTTCCTTCTCTGCAGACCTCCTCAACTCTGTCTCACTTTGGCTGACCAGAAAAGGTGCTTTCAGAGTGACAAGGTTGATATTTTCATTTGACCGAGAAACGACATACTTCTGCCCCCTCAAGTATATATTTGACCAGACTGTGGGACTTTTGGTGTTGTATTTAACTTCCCCACCAAGGGCCCAGGGCTCATTGCCCACGTGTCCCCACGAGTAGCATCAAAGGCTGTTCTCAAAAATGAAAGACGAGTGAGCAGACGCAGTGTGTCACATCAGCAACTTTTTTCCCAGTTCCTTTGCAAATGGAAGTTTATGAAAAGGAGCACTAACTCAAATCACAGAATCCTGTGTTTGAAATAAACGGTCTTGCAACAAACATTTCCGTCTGCAAATGTCTAAACCTTTCAAAAGATTAAAGGAAATTAATGCTGGCGTGTTTCATTAATTTGGCACCACCGTGGAGGAAATGTGGTACTCATTTCATTTGGGTGGATTATGAAATGTGTCAGTTTTTCCATTCTCTTTTTCCAGGGCATTTTTTTACTGCAAGGCCTGTCATGATGACATCACAGATCCCAAAAGAATAAAAAAATGTGGCTGCAAACGGCGTAAGTAGTGTTTCTCTCCCGTCCCCTCCCTCTCTCATTCCTATTCCCCAAATTCCTTTTCCTTTCCTTTTCTTATTAGAGAAACACTAAACATCAAGAGTTTTCTTGAATATGTTTATGTTTCACCCACCAGTTTAAAGAAATATGAAATCAATACCTGTCCTTGCTTTGTTAGAGCAGAGGATGAAAAATCACCACCGTCAACACCTAGGAATGAACCCTGTGCCTAGTCCCTGCTTCTTTACTCTGGAGATGCCTCAGTAGATGTGTCCAGTCTAACAGAGACAAGTATGATATATAAAAAGAAGGAGAACTAAAGCCATAGAGAACGAAGTGTTTTTGTATCATGTTTTCCAGTGGATTGGGTGCCCCTGGGTATATAGGGTTGAGAGAGAAACTAAATCTGAGGACTTGGTCTCCAAAATGGAAGTTGTCTCTTTCCATTTGGAATTCCTGCCAGTTTTAATACCACAGGCCAGAATTTGCAACTGTGATGCCTTCAGACTGCCCCCAAGAAAAAACTTTCCATTGTCAAAGGGCTTCAATTGCCATCGTCCCTAAGGTCGAGCTCAAGCACCGTTACTCTTTGGGGTAGACTAGACTGGGCTCAGTTGTTTCTGGCATATTCTGTCTCAAGACCCTTCTAAAGCTGTTTGCCACTGGGGCCTCTTGAGAAAGATATAGTGAGTCTAGAACGTGGAATTGTGAGCTCCTGAGACACCATGACTTAAGTGGCCTTTGCTTTGAGAAGGTTGTGCCTTTTGCAGTAATTATGCTGTATTGCCTAATAGAAATTGTTCTCAACCCTCGAAAAACAACAACAACAACAACAAAAAAGATACCATCCTTCCTATGGTGAGTTAGTGTTTTAAAAGCTCCTCACAATCATTGCTTTGATTCTCACCCTAACCCCATGTAATTGGCAGGGGTGTTATTAATCTCATTTTACAAAAAGAGGAAACTAAGCTTCCAAGTTTGAGAGGATGAGATTGCTGACAGTCACACAGCCAACATACAGGGATTTGGGCACACCTGAAGGCCTCTATTGATTCTCTGGGTGCTCTAACATTTTTTTGCAGAAGGGAAAGGAAAGATGGGCAGTCTTGGGTCTGATGAGTAAGAACAATTATGAAAGATGACCCCATAAAAATCCTGGTTCACAAGCAGAAGCCAGACAGAAGAGCACCATTTCTGAGGTATGCCACTGAAGGAAGGACGTTTTTCATTGTACTCCTAGAGTGGGTACAGAAAATGTAGAACCAGTCATCTATAACTATCACTCTGCTGGAGCATAGAGAAGTTCCTCAATCCATGGGGAAAATTCCCTTGGGGTGCACTCTTGGTCTAGAGAAGTTTCTGCAGAAATCCCCTCAGGATGGGGCAGCTTAGGCCCATGAGTTTCCTCCCCCTGTTTTCACTGACTTAATACAGCTGGTCCCCTTCCCCCACACTCTTACAAAGATGAGTATTTATTGATATCTCAAAACAAGAGCCTCTAATTTCTTGGGACCTAAGAATTCCCTGATTCTGACAATCTACCAAGAAGAGCATCTAAGAGAGAACAAGGCCTAGAACGAACCTCACTGCCCATTCAACCCCCACAGACCCCATGAATCCAAAGACCATCTTCACCAGGCAGTCCATCCTAGCCATGCTCAGTTGGTTGTAGACACAGCAGCATGGCTGAGTTGACCAGACATCTCCTGAATCATTTCAATCAGAAGGAGCACAACCGTCTGAGGGTTGAAGCAAATAAAAGAGAACAACAAATACAAGAGGTGAACAATTCTGTAAGGAACGCTTGTAGTGAGGAGTTGAGAAAGGGAGAAAAGTGAGGCCAATAATCCCTGACAGGATATTTGCCAGACCCTCGTCCCACAGAGTATCAAGGAAATAGCAAGACTGTGATTCAAGTATTGATTAGCCATTCACATATTTTTGAGTATCTTCTTTGAATGAGGTGCTATTTTTGGTTCCAGGGATGGAGTGGTGAACAAGGTAAAGTCCCTGCCCTTCTGAATCTTTTACTCCGGTGAATGGATACAAACCATGATCTTGTAAATAAATAAATTCGGAGATAGCCAGTGCTAAGTGGAGAGAAGAGACTGTCTGAGGGTTGAGGAATACTGCAGTGGTGCTACTTTATAGCTTGGAAGGTCAGGAAGGCCTCAGTCAGGGCTGATGTTGAGGTCAAGACCCAATCCAGATAAGGAGAAGAGCAAAGGTCAAGGTCAGGAGGCAGGAATGAATTTGTGGTGTTTGAAGGATAGAAGAAAGACCAATGGCACTGGGGAGATAATAGTATGAGATGAGATTAGAGAGGGAGAGAGGAGCCGTGGTAAGAAGTGGGGGTTTTAGTCCTTTATTAGGAAGTCATTGGAAGATTTTAAGTGAGGAAATGTCATCATTAGTTCTTAGTTTAAAAGATGTCCCTGGTGTCCAGATGGAGAGAGCATTCTCTGGAGGAAGGAGTGGAAGTGGAAGGATGAAGTGAGAACTTCCCTGACTCTTGCTCTGACATTGGAATGTCCCTCATAGGATGCCATAGTGGAACACAGCAGACTAAACTGTCCCGAGAAATAAGAAATAAGGATTTGGCCTCTAGGATATTTTTCCACCTTGGTTCCAGACAAGTAAACCGCAGCAGGCTTTAGCTTCATCCTGGAGAGAGAGGCACATAATTGTTTGAAATAATTTTATTCTCTTCATTTCCTTTAAAGTTGGTGGAGCTAGTGAGGTATATAATCTCCCATTACACACTGCACCAATTGCTGCAAAAGGCCTGCCTCTACAAAGCCAAGCCAGTGCAACAAGGGCCTCACTTCCTTCTCTGTACGTCTGTGTGCCTCCTCCCCCAACCTCAGCTTCTTCATTTCACAAAGGCCTTTGGCTATGTAACATTCAGAATTGTCCGAATATTGTTCCTACTAATTGAAAGGCCATAGAACAGAGGGCAGGATGCAGATGTGTGTATGAGGTGAGGGGGTGGTTAGAATAAAATGAATTATTAAAAATAAACCTCCCCATGTAGGTCAGGCAAGTGAGGAAATTGGAGAAGATGTTTTAGTTGCAAAGAAACTTTAATTAGAAGAAACTAGGATTATTAATAACACACTGTGGGGACCCCTATGCCTTTGAACAGACATTGCTTGGTTCCCAGTCTAAGTTGGAGAAGACAGCTGACCCACATACTCATCTGTCCAAACGTGTTAGTCCGGGTATTAATAATTCACCCTGGAATGGTAGATCCCTTGAGGGCAGAGCCCATGACAGTCGCTGGCCCTTACCCATAGCTTCCTAACCCTCCTTCCCCAACCCAGTCTTCCCCCTTTCACCTCCACCCCTACCTCCTCATTCACTTTCATTCAGTAACCTTCAACATTTCACGTCATCTCATCTGGAGAAATATCAGGTGCGGACATTCCATTTCTGGAAATCCTGTGATAGTATAGTTTAACGTTTGCATTTCTTTCCATTTCTTCATAGCTCTCTATCAAGGAAAAGAGTCAAATTCAGCTGTCTGGCCGAGGAGCAAGTTCTCAGGGTCTACTATTTACCCATTTTCTTTTTCTGTGTAACAAACATTGTCTAATGATTTATATTTCTTCCCCCAGCCTCTAAAAGTTTGCCAAAGTGTGGACTCCTAGGGGACAAGTAATGTCTAGTTTGATGTGTTTGAAGGAATTTTCTTTGACTGCAAATCATTGACATATCTTTGATTTATTTTTTTTCTCTTTGCTGCCTTGGAATACGGCCCCTACTCTATTTTAACTGCACACTGGTAGTGATATATTGTGAGTAAAACGGGTTCCCAGCAGCCCGGAGTCCAGTTCCCCCTGTCTTTCTCTAGAAGAGATACTCTTTTAATTTTCTGTACAGTTGTAGTTTCCTTTTTACTTTTGGTATTTATGTTGCATGTAGCAGTGACATCATGCCCCAACTCCTTCATCCCCCAACGCAGTATACAGAGTAGTCTGGAGCCGGAGAGTCCACAGGGAGCCTGCTCTCCATCCATCCACCGCAGTCCCCAGGCTCTGGCCAGCTTCGGGCACTGTCTTATTTTTCCATTTGAAAATAAGACCTTGACAACAGTGTGTTTCTCTTGAAGACCTTGTCTCAGGACTTTTAAGGGACTCTGATTAGGCTGAAATAATTACCACTATAGCTGTAGATACTTCATCAGCTGGGGTAATTGTCATGCTTGCCTTTGATAAATTATACTTGGTCTCCTTTGCTATTGAGCTTCAATTCCTCTCCTAAAGGAAACACATATGCCACATATATATTCCCATGTTGTGATATATATATACACACACACACACAATATGTACCATGATGTATCAGAATATATGTACATTCTTATATGCAAAAATTCATATTTTTACATATAAGAGTAGAGATATTCCATAGTGTGATATATTTATTGCAGTATATGCCTCTCCATATGAGAAGTGCTCACTAGATAATTAATTGGTTACTCAACTTTGGGACTGTAAGTATCTCAATTGTCTTACTGGAGACAAGTATTTGCACAGTGGTAATTATTTTCTGCAGTCTACGAAGTTTCCTAGCTTTACAATGAAGTTTTTCTTTTAGTCAGTACTCAGTAGGACACACCCAGTTGCTTTATGAGTGTTAGTCAGACATCTTGGAAGATCTGTTTACCTGTTTAAGGCAGAAAAACTGACTGGAGGAGAACATTCCATTTCAGCAATGAGCTATACATAAGTCTGAACAAGTCAATGCAAGTGTCTGAACCTCTAGCTTACTCAAGGAATAGGATGTCCTTTTACTCAACAAGATGTGGCCATTGAGGAGGAGCTTTTAAGGCCAGCATTGAGCTTTGGGTCTTTACTCGTGTTTGTAAGGCTCTACTGAAAAGGAGACCCAATCTGTGGAACAGTTCAGTCCAATGGCTCTAGAATTTGGAGAAGATGTTTCAAATTCGGTCCTCTCATTCCTTTGCAGCAAAAGAGGCAAGTTGATCATCTGATTTTTGT